GTGGCTGGCGCCTTAGCCAGTTGAGCTATAGGCGCCGAGCCAGCATCAGTATTTTCTAAAAGCTCTCCAGATGACTGAATGTGCAGTGGCTGAGAAGCCCCACCTGGGCTTTCACTCATTCACCCTGACGGGAGGAGCCTCGGTTCCAGATCAAGCCCAAGACTCTCAGGCAGCCTTCCCCAGAATCCTGGGCTTCTGAGAGAAGCCTCAGCAATGGGGGAACAAAGCTCCAGGCACCCTCCCGCCCTCACTGTGTGCCCCTATGCCCCTACACCCCTGCAAAGGTGCCCATCAAGGTCTCAGGTGAGTGGGAAGTATTCCAATGACCCCACCAGCATCACAGTTCTTGGCCAGTGGCTGTCACTCGATCCTGGCCCTTTATTATCTGACCACTGGTGGTGGCCTGGCCAAGAAAGATAAATAAGCCAATCACATTGTGTTCCTCTGAACACAAACTTAAGCTATCCAGGAGGAAGTTGTCAAAGTTTGAAAAGACCCAGAGATGGAGCACCCGGGCAGGATCAGAGCCTTTTGCCTGAAGAGAGAGGAGAACAGAAAAATGTGTTCAGGAGCCTCAAATGGCATGAAAAAGGTGGAGAGGAAAGCGAGTCAGCCCCCAGGGCCTGTGGATTCCTGCTCTGCCTGAGGCCTCTGCTCTGCTGGCCTCAGATTCCTGGGAGACCTCTCAGCGCCTTAGGAAAGCCTTGTTTGAACGGAGCCCGTCTTTGTACACCCCAAAGAGTCTCAGAACACCCACCACAGACAAGGCTGCTCTACTTTCATCTTCTTACATTTTAGGGGCCCGTGTGAGATTCGGATTGGAAAGGGGAAATAAGAAGGGTCCACCTCTGAAACATAACATGGATGTCATCAGATCAGTTTCACTCCTTGTTTCACTGAGGGGACACTGGGGCACAGAGAAGCAAGAGTGGCTGATATTGTTGGCTTCTGTCTCTGTGGGAGACCAGAGGAAGAGTGGGGGAACTGCTAGAAAGAGCCACACTCCCCCCTCTCACCCCCCCAGCTCTGCCACAGATGCAGGTGTGGGACTTGCAGAGGAAGTAGCTCAGGAGTGAGACATCCTGACCCTCAGGTGGCAGAGGTTTGGGAGCCTTGGGCATTACTCCTTGGAAAGCCCTGGTTTGTCTTTGGCACAGAATGACTGTGCTTCAAGAAAATAAGGGGCCTGGGCACAATAGCTCATGCCTGTAATCCTAGCACTCTGGGAGGCCGATCCCTTGAGCTCAGGAGCTTGAAACCAGCCTGAGCAAGAGTGAGACCCCCTCAAAAAAGGAAAATTAGCCAGGCATTGTGGCAGGTGCCTGTAGTCCCAGCTACTAGGAAGCTGAGAGCATGAGGATTGCCCTAAGCCCAAGAGTTTGAGGTTGCTGTGAGCTATGATGATGCCATAGCACTCCACCCTAGGGCAACAGAGTGAAACTCTATCTTAAGAAAAAAAGGAAATAAGGGTAAACCTCTAAGCCCCAAGTCAAATCCTACAAGATCCCCAAGTACCCGCATAGTTCACTAGCCCAGGGCTCTCTCTATATACCTAGAGAGACAAGCCCCTACTTCTCCAGCTTTACCTACAGATGAAAAGCCAGCATGGTGCCCCTCTCTGCCTCCTGCCTCTGCTCAGAAGCTCAGAGCCTAGTGGTTCACCAAAGGGACTCGAGTTGGGCATCTGCACAGGGCATTAAACCTAACTGACATTTCCATATGTAGGACTCACTTTTCTTTCTTTCCATAAATATTTCTTATTCCCTCTGTCCAAGCCCAATTCTCCTTCAATGGAGCCCCACTCAGTCCATCCAGCTCCCTTTTTCTGAAGAGTAGACTGTGGTGGACATGCCCCAATGGTCAACTTCAGCTTTGGACTGAGACTCAAACCAGAAGACCGAAGAGCACATCTCAGCTCTTCAGGGAAGGGAATAGGCACGAGAGGCCTGGGTTAACTTTCATGTACCATGAACCAGAACCTGTTCCCAGGTAGCTCTGCAGTTACAGCAGATACTACAGGACTGGTCCTGTGGCCGCTACTACAGCCATAGAGAGAGATGGATGTAAGACAGCATCCCACTACTTCCATATTTGTAAAGGGAGCACTAGCATGGTGCCTGTGGCTCAGGGAGTAGGGCACCGGCCCCATATACCGAGGGTGGCGGGTTCAAACCCGGCCCCAGCCAAACTGCAACCAAAAAACAGCCGGGTGCCTGTAGTCCCAGCTACTTGGGAGGCTGAGGCAAGAGAATCACTTAGGCCCAGGAGTTGGAGGTTGCTGTGAGCTGTGTGATGCCATGGCA